CTCACCCGAGGCCCCTGGGACCTAAAACAAACATACCAAACAATCTTAAAACATCATAAGAACTTAGTTGGGCCCTCAAATCATATCAAACAATGCTAAAATCACAAATCACCCTCCAATCCAAACCTAATGAACTTGAATTTCCAAAATTCTACATCCGATGCTGAAACCAACCAAACCACATCCGACTAGCCCCAAATTTTGCACACAAGTCATATTCAACACTGCGGACCTACTCCAACTTTCGGAATAGGATTTCGACCCCGATATCAAAAATTCCACTATCGGCCCGAAACTCCAAAAATTCAACTTTCGCCATTTCAAGCCTTAATAAGCTACGGACCTCCAAAACATGATCCGGACACGCCCCTAAGCCCGAAATCACCCAACAGAGCTAACAGAAGCGGAATTCCATTCTGGAGCCGCTTCACACTGATCCGACTACGGTCCAAATTCTAAGTTTTAAGCTCACATTTAGGGACTAAGTGTCCCAAAACACTCCGAAACTTAAAATGAACCATCCCAGCAAATCACAATAGCAGAATTAGACATGGGGGAAGTTGTTAATAGAGGATCGGGGCGTAAATTCTCAAAACGACCGACCGGATCGTTACAACACTGAAATCACATCTCGCACCTCACCCATGGAATCACGAGCCGTTGATGCACCGTTGATATCGGGCGCTCATGTGCGCAGACAAATGCATGGAAGGAATTCAAAGAGTTAAGCTTCAAGCTGAATCAATGTCGCACGATAAAGAAGGAAAGATGGGAAGGATATCCTAAATGTCATGTAGCCTCTCGATGATAGGTATGTACATAATCATACTGATCCACAAGACTGTATTAGACACTTGCTCATGGCTTGTAGAACCTATGAACCTAGAGCTCTGATACCAATTTGCCATGATCCAAAATTTAACTAGTCGTGATGGCACCTAACCGAACTTGCTAGGTAAGTCAATTAACAATATCCAATTCCAATAACAGTTTAATAAGGTAATTAAATAAAGAAAATATATGAATCTGATATATTCCCCAAGGACTGGTAGTACAAATCATGAGCTTATAAGAATAGAATTTACAGAGCCGATATGAAGTAAATACATCTTCTATTTGAAAGTACATAAACAAAGTTTTATAATCTAAGGCTACTATGAACAAGAGGTAGCTACAACAGGGAGTACAATCGACCCCATGTACTCAATAAGTAACAAACCTAACCTTAGGTTGAAAGTAGTAAAGAACTGGAACATGGTCGGGTGCAAAGCCAATAGCCAACAACAATTCATAACAATGTAGAGCATATAAATAAAAAAGTAACTCAGAGATAAAATGTTCAGCTTTTTTATAGTTTTCTGAAAATAATTCCGCTTTTCAAGAATAACAGTGAAAACCCAAATCCTTTACCGAAATCCTCGATGAGATAGTTGAAAACTGTAATTTTTCAAGAAATTATTTTCACAATAAATAAGTTGTTTCATTTTCTTTCCAGATAGCAAGTACAAAAAACCTCTCTATGCCCACATATCAATGTGTGTAAAAAGTCATGAATAATGTGATACCGTATAGCATGAGGAAAAATGCATCTCGATGCATGTATGTCATGTGTGCATGCCAATGCCATGTATCTCAAAGATGAATCATGTACTCACACTCTCACAGTACTCAATCTCACTGTTTCACACTTTCCACTAATCATGCTCAACCACTCAGTATTGTATATGGCCCATACAGCCCAAGGAAGGCCAATCCGTCCCCATGGAGAAGATCCATCTCCAGGTATATAAATGCTTCAGACAAGATCCATGTCCAGGGAAGATCCATCCCTCAATATAATCAACCGCACTCACTAGGGGTGTGTACAGACTTTGAAGGGGCTCCTACAGCCCAAATACTATAATCTGCACGGACAACTCAAGTGCCATAGTATCAATATCAAAATACGCACGGACAACTCACGTGATATAGTATCAATACCCTCACACTCAGGCCCTTTGCCTCACTCAGTCATCAATTTCTCCAGTCTCACTTGCGGGCACAATGTCATGCAACTAGCCCGACAACAATGATATGATGTGTCAATAAATAATAACTGAGACTGAGATATGATATTAATACATGAACATGACTGAGTACGAGATAGAAATGAAATCAGTGAGGTGAGAGCAAGAAACGACCACTATGGGTCCCAACAATATCAGCATAAAGCCTAAACATGATATCTATCATGATTGATAACTCAATTACTTTATCACATGGTGAAAACACATATATCAATTAAATAGGACCACTATACAGTTCCCTGGCAACAACGGAGTCAAAATTCACAGGGTGCACGCCCACACGCCCGTCACCTAGCATTTGCGTCACCTCAACATCAATCACACAACATGTAAATTCGGGGTTTCATACCCTCAGCACTATGTTTAGAAGAGTTACTTACCTCGAACAAGCCAATTCCAATATCGAGCAAGCCAAGTGATGCTCCAAAAATGCCATCACACCCGAGCCCACGCCTCGGAATCTGATAAAACTCACAAAATCCGACAACCCATTCAATTAAGAGTCCAACCATACTAGTTTCACTCAATTCCAATTCTGAATCGATGATCAAAACTCAAAAATTTATATTATGAAACTTTAGGCCAAAACCCCCAAATTCTCTTTAAAATTCATCAACCAATTGCCAAAAATGAAGATAGATACATGGATTAAGATCAAACCAAGTGTAGAATACTTACCCCTATCGTTGTGATGTAAATTGCTCCAAAAATCGCCTCAACAGTCCCACATCTAAAAATATGATGAAAGAACAAAAACCCTTGACTTTTATAGCTTCTGCCTAGCACTTTCCGCATTTGCGGACAAATGACGCATCTACGACCACCGCATCTGCGGTAACTACTTCGCTTTTGCGACTACAACTAATTAGCTGACCACTCGCACCTGCGGAATATTTTCCGCTTCTGCGCACTCGCAGGTGCGACTCTTCCTCCGCATTTGCGATGACCCCTAGCCAAGCCTGCTACATTTTGCAGCCAATTGTCCGCATCTGCAAATTCGCATCTACACCCATTCTTGCGCAGATGCGGAAACACCAGAACCAGAAATCTTCAGCAATGCAACATAAAATGAAAATGATCCGAACCTCGTTTGAAACTCACCCGAGCCCCTCGGGACCCCGTCCAAACATAATAACGAGACCCATAACATAATACGTAACTACTCGAAGCCTCAAAACTCACATAACAACATCAAAACAATGAATCACACCTCAACTTGAAATCAATGAACTTTGGAACTTCAAACTTCCACAACCGATGCCGAAACCTATCAAATCACGTCCGATTGACCTCAAATTTTGCGCACAAGTCACATTTGACATTAAGGACCTACTCCAACTTCCAGAATTGGAATCCGACCCCGATATCATAAAGTCCACTCCCGATCAAACTTTCCAAAATTTAAACTTTCGTCATTTCAAGCCAAATTCTACTACGGACCTCCAAATCACAATCCGGATGCGCTCCCAAGTCCAAAATCACCCAACGGAGCTAACGAAATCATCAAAAATCCTATTCGAGGTCAAATACTAAAAATCAAACTTGGTCAAACCTTTCAAATTTAAAGTTTCTAGCTGAGAATCATTCTACCAAATCAATTCTGAATAACCTGAAAACCAAAATCGATGATTCACATAAGTCATAATACATCCTACAGAGCTACTCATGCACTCAAACAACCTAGCGAAGTTTAAATGCTCAAAACGACCGGTCGGGTCATTACAAAATTACTTAGTTTCGAAGGCCGGCCTACAATTGAAGTTGCTGATCATTTGCACCGAATCAACAATATTCGAGCCTTCACAAATTCGACCTCAAATACTGGGGGCCACAACCCCTAGGTTAAGATCTTTATAAGGTGCAATCGGGGGACTATCTGTTTATGGGTAAAATCGGGGGCAAAGTTTTCCCAGATTCCCGGATGAGGGAACAAATGGGAAGCACGGCTCGACGTGATTATAATCGAGGCCCAGGAGCCCCTCGTATCGAAACTCAAGAGGAATGAATGTTGTATCTGGGATCTGACACGGTGAAATGACGGATCAGGATTAAATATAGCTTTTGGACCTCGGGAAACGTATTGAACGGTTATGCATGACGAGTAGGGGACCGTAATAGTCGCCCTCAAAGGGGAAGATTTTCTTTATTCTAACACATTGTGACACGCAAATCAAAGCAATAAAGCTTACTTTTGTCTTCTAGCTATTGTTCAAAGCATTATTTATTTGTTCTTTTCTTTACTCGCGACCGAGCTTGTACCGAAGGTCCAATCGAGATCGAATTCCACTGTTCAATCTAAGATCAGGCTTGGTCACTACATTGGGATTGGTTTGATCATTTACTTTGTCTTTAACTCATTTACCTGTTCTTCTTAATCATTCGTATTGAATTAAATCACATATTCTTTAAACCGCGTACAAATTTAATTGTTACTTGTTTTTGGGGTAAACAGGGTCTAGACCCAAAGTAGACAATATGTGCCGTGTGCTTGGATCGTGACACCAACAATATTACCCGGTATGGTTTCATTTAGAGACACCTTATGCGAGTATTATAATACAGAGAATATATTTAGGGATTATTTTCATGTTAAATTTTCGAGAAAAGAAATGGCAATCCAACAACCAAACTAGCCTGAAGTACTTCTAAAGGTAGAAACAAATCAGCACACAAAAAATCTATCTATTATTAAAAGGAAAGAAATCACTATTCAAAATTTTCCAATTGTCACGTTAAGAAAATGCCATGTGGCAGTTTAAATAAAACATTAGTTAAGTTAGGTAAAATTAGTTTATTTTTTGAATTTGAATTTTAAAATAATAAAATATTTATATTTTTTTAAACAAACAGTAATTTTGAAATTAAAATTATATTCTGAAACCCACACATAATATAACTTCTCTCTGCGCGACTCTGACCTAAAAAACTATACAAAGCCGGTGGAACCGTCGGGAAGTTTAAGGCAGGATCTCTGGGAACGTGGGCTCTTATGTAGGATTTCAAAATATAATGAAATATCACTTCTTTTCCTCTCTAAATTCTCAAAATAGTCTTCTTTATATGCCAAACTTGAACTTCTTCTGTTGGTAATTTCTAAATTCCCATTTAAGTGACCTATGCACCCAAGATATTGGATGATATGCAAAACTTGAGTTCTTGGGTGTTAGGTTTTGATTGTTTTGAATAATTTCTTGAGTGATCGTACCTGATTGCAAGGTATCAGAATTGACGCTGTAAGATTAGGTCTCTTAATTTGTGCTATATTGTTATTTGTTTCTATAAGAATAAGTTTATCTATAGATACAATTCCAAAAGGAAGACACGAACAAGGAAAGATGAGGATGGATGATATGCACAACTGCTTGTGTGACAGTCTTTTCTCTTCTGAAGAGAAAGCAGAAGATGCACCTATTTTCGTAGTTAAGTTTTCTACTTTCTCTTTCTCTTTCTTTTGGTCGTGCGTTTATTGAGTAGTCTTAATGATAATTATTGAAGTAGACTATGCACCCAATATGTTTGATTGTATGCCTGACTCATTCACCAAATGATATTTGAATGAGTACATAATGTAAAACATGTTTTAAATAAAGTTCTTCTCGCGAATGCATATCTTAAAACTGATCTTTAAGAACAATCATAGGTTTAAAATTGTATTTCGACTCACAGTGCAGTTCACTATGATTATTGCACGTAATAATTCATTTCCTTGACACGTCTAGCTTTTCTCTTCTTCTTTTTTTTCCTTTTCTTTTTTGTAATATGATAAAATCTGATAAGCAATTAGGCCAACCTAATCTCTAATATTTCAATTTTTGGTTCTTCTTTGATATATAGTAAATTTTTTTAGAGAGATGAGCTTCGACACTTCCACAACTGCCGCTTCTCGATGAGAATTAAACTAGAAGTAACTGTCTTTTCCCTTTTTTTGTTAATGTTACTTTGGCAGATTACTAGCGCTTTTTAATTGGAGACTTTTGCAGGTTTGATTTTAGTATCTTAGAGCTCAAGCATTTAGAACTACATTTGATAAAGTGAATTTATACAAATGTACTTTTTACTATTAGTTTTATACTAATTTGCTTACAAAAAGTTATGCTTAAAATTTCTATTTCTTTTTCAAGGAGCTTGATATAGCATTCTGTTGGAGCTACATGTGAACTTTCATGGCATTTTGATCATATTATAGTTCAGCTCTGGGGAGTTTTTTTTTTTTGTTGCTTTCTGAATGTTTACTTGATTTTTATCATTTTTTGAGCTACTTTTGGGAATTACTTAGGCTAACGATTGTGGCGAATTCAAAATATCGACGCTACGAGTTTTGAATATGTTGGTCACCAAACTCAAAGATTATCAACAAGAAATCGAGAGAGTGAGGAATGATGCGTTCACTTTGGGCTTCAGGGTGTTAAGAGCGATATTGTTGGATCACATCTTCTGGATTCTGCCTATCACTCTACGAAGGTAAGGCAAGAGGGGTGAAGCCGAACAATAGGTGTTCGCAATTATTTTCCTCTTTGTTACCAAAACACAGTATCTTCCCATTCATCTCCTCTTACCTCTTGTATTGGGTGATACCCTTTTTGCTTGAGCCCGACCGGGTTGGGTCCGGTCCGGGGCAAGTCGGGGCCATCGAACCCGACCTGGATGCAAGGTAGAACGACGGCCACGTCAACAACCGAGGTCGAGTCATTTCGAGACCGTTGCAGAGCTCGATATGAGTCACCACCGGATGGAGAAACACACAAGGTCGGAAGCCGGACTCGTAACGGATAACCAAGCGTCGCCGGATATCTCGCCCAAACGTGATTTTCTCAACCACTTCAGGCCATTAAGGCGTAATTACAGGGATCCACGATGTAATTAATTTACCTACCTTATTTTTACCCTTAATCAGAATGTATAAAAGGGGAGAAGACCCCATAAAGAGGGGATCGGAAACCATTACACTACGGTACCATCTCTCTCAATTCTTGTACGCTATCAAGCACAATTGTTCTAAGCA